TTCCGGGCTCCGGCGATCCTTCCGCCTCAGCCTTCCGAGTAACTGGAACTACAGGCGCGTGCTACCATGCCCGGCTAATTTTTGATTTATTGTAGAGATGAGGTCTCACCAAGTTTCCCAGGCTCAGGCAATTCACTCACCTCAGCCTCCTGAGGCGCGGGATTACAGGCTGAGCCACCGAGCCCGGCTCCTTTTTCCTCTTTAGTGTCTCCTGTCCTCTTTTGTTTTTGGCTCCTCCTCCACCTTGCCCATCACTCCAGGCAGTTTCCGTGCACCAGTCTTGCTGCTCGGAGTACCGGTGCAGGTGGCCTCCAGGCGCCCTGAGGGTCCCCACCTCCAGCCGGGGCTTGGATGCCAGGAGCTCGGGTCCTTTCTGGTCTGCTGCCCTCTGTGCTGACGCTCCCCACCCCCCTGGACTCCTGCAGGTGTGTGGGCTGCGAGGCGGTGCTGTCAGGCATCGAGGAGCAGGTGAGCCGGGCCAACCAGCACAAGGAGCAGCAGCTGGGCCTGAAGCAGCAGATCGAGAGCGAGGTGAGCAGGCGGGCCGGCCAGCACCGCCAGCCTCGGCCGGTCGTCTTGCGCACGGGGTGTGGACCACAGACAGACGAGGGGAGCAGAGGGTCTGTCTGGTGCTGGACCCGTCCTGGCTACCCCCTGCTCCCTTCCTCCTGGTAGGTGGCCAACCTGAAGAAAACCATCAAAGTCACAACAGCCGCGGCAGCCGCAGCCACGTCTCAGGATCCCGAGCAACACCTGACTGAGCTGAGGGAGCCCGCTCCCGGCACCAACCAGCGCCAGCCCAGCAAGAAAGCCTCGAAGGGCAAGGGGTGAGCCAGCGTGGCAGCAACTGCCGCCTCCGGGTGCCCGCTTCTGCCTAGGGAAGCTGGCTGCCCTCGCTTCCTTGAGTCATTTGCTGGGGCGGGGGGAGCCCCCGGAAGTTAGGGCTTCTCTGCATCCTCCCTGTCTCTGCCTCTTCTCCTTGCCAGACTCCGAGGGAGTGCCAAGATTTGGTCCAAGTCGAACTGAAGGGACTGTCGGTTCTTCCCTGGGGACGTGGGGCCCCAGCTGCCTGCCTGCCTCTTGGGAGCCCTCAGAGAGCCTTCCTGTGCCCCTGGCCAGCTGATACTCCTCGGTTCTTGGCCCTCCCCTCCCCTGCCCCCAAGCGCAGATCACCCTTCTCTAGGGAGGAGGCAAGTACAGGCCGCGTTTCGGTTGGTCCTTTTTGTTGTTCGTGGCTTCCTCGTGTGCCCCATGGCTTCCGCCTCCCTGCCACGCCCCCCCCCTTTCTTCGCAATTTCAGCATCTGTCCCTGTTGGCAGAGCCCCGACGGTTGCTCTGCCTCCAGCATAAGCCACAGGTGTCCTCTCTCCTGCCAGCCCTGTCGCTGCATGCCGAATCCCAGCTCCCACTCCCATCCCCACCCACCGGGCAGCGGCTAGACAGTCAGAGTGCCCTCGCCTTGTTCCCACCCTGGGAGTTCTGGGAGCCAGTCTGCCGTTCCCAGAGTCACTGGACTCTTCCATCCTGGAGTCCTGTTGCACTACACATGTTCCTTTCTTCTCTGCCCTTTGGGTCTTGGGGATGCTGCTGCTCCCGTAACTCCAGAGCCTGAGAAGGGCAGCTGTCTCATAAGATGTCGAGAGAGGCTTCTTTCTTGGCCCCGACTGTCTTAGGCGGCTTGATGGCAGTCCGGAAGGGTTTGCGTTTCCTTTTGTGAGTCTGGGGGAAGGGAAGGGGATAGATCGTATTTAAAAAAAAAGATATATATGCATATATCTATATATAACATGACACAGAAATAAATCTATGAGAAGTCTACCTGTAGACATGACCCTGAACTGGGTATCTTCTGTCTTCATATTTGTGATGGGAAGACAACTCACTCCCAGTCCACTCTACGGCACACTGCTGGAAAACGAAGAGAACAGGTACTGTTTGCTGAGTCCTGACCTCAGCCTCGGGCTGTAGGACAGGACACGTTGCTGCGGATGTCAGCGTTCATTCAGAAGCGATGGATATAGCCAGGTGCAGTGACTCAGGCCTGTAATCCCAGCACTTTGGGAGGCCGAGGCGAGAGGATTGCCAAGGGTTCAAGACCAGCCTGGGCAACTTGGTAAGACCTCATCTCTACAATAAAACAAAAACTTAGCCAGGCCTGGTGGTACCAGTAGTCCTAGGTACTTGGAAAGTTGAAGCAGAAGGGTCGCCTGAGCCCAGCAGGTCGAGGCCATGTGTGTGCCACTGCATCCCAGCCTGGGTGACAGACCCCAACTCAAAAAAAAAAATAATGGGTACTTACTGAGCATTAGCATTGATAGGCACTGGACATGCAAACCGATGGCCACTGTCTCTGCCGTCAAGGGACTTGCGTTCAGACTGTTTGCTTTGCCTCTTAGAACTAATAAGGAAGAGTTGATAATGAACTCGAATTTTCATATCAAAACGGAACTGTCAGATCTGCGGCGAGAAGCAGCCAGTGGGCTCTCACCCTGTCTAGTCAGAGCTTCCCGTGAAGTGGGCCAGGAGGATCGGTGCCCTCCGCCTAGGGCATTGCCGTGTGCTCCCTGGGATTGGGATGCTCCAGTGTAAGGGACAGTTGAGCCCTTGTCTGTGCGGAATGGTTGGCTTCTCAGCGTCCTAGCGTTGACCAAGCTGCCCTCCAGAGCTTGTGCTGTTCTTTCAGTGGAGATTTGGAACGGACCACTCACTGCTGGACCGGAAGCTGTGAGTTTGGAACTAGAAAGTGAGAAAGGGATCCTGGGCTTTTCACTGAAGATTGGGACCTGGCTCAAGCCTGTAGTTCCAACAATTTGGGAGACCGAGGTGAGGGGATTGCCTTAGCCCACAAGTTCGAGACCTGCCTGGACACCTTGGCAAGGCCTCATCTCTACAATAAAAAATGTGTATGTATAAGCCGGGCATGGTAGCGCACGCCTGTCGTTCCAGCTACTTGGAAGGTGAAGGCAGAAGCACCTCCTGGCCCCGCTGATCGACGCTGGGCTGGCTGTGAGCGTGCCGCTGCACTCCAACCGGGGTGACGGAGTGAGATTTCAACTCAAAAATTGGATACGTTTATTGTCTTGAGGAGGCAATGAGACTTCATGGGACTAGTCCAGTGAGCCCCATTTCAGGACTTGTCCTTCTTGGCTTCTCTGCTTTGCCCTAAACATGCAAGACAGGATTCTCAGTCTCTGCCGCTGAAATAAGCTTCTTCTTCCTCCCACACCCTCCAGTGTGTAGAAGTTGCTAATTCCTGGTGCTTTGAGCCTGTTTCTCCCCACCCCCACCCAGGTTCCCATTTCCCTTGGAACTACCTGTAAGCTCCTCCCAGCTAATGGTCCCATAAATTCCCAGACCTCTCCAGCGAATGACTCTAAAATCCAGTGTGGGTAGAGTGGGACTGCCTGATTTCACGCCCGCCAAGGGACGGGTGCGGGGGGGTGGGGATTATTCACATCCCAGAACCGTGCGGATGCAATTTGTCTGTGAAGGCTTGAGGGACAAGCAGTGCATTATTTAAGAAGTGGTAGGGGCTCAGTTTTGGTTTTTTTGCATTGGAGTCTCCCTCTGTCGCCCAGACTGGAGTGCAGTGGCCGCTCCCAGCCACTGTAGCCTCAACCTGCTGGGCTCTGGCGATCCTTCCGCCTCAGCCTTCCGAGTAGCCTGAATTACGGGCATGTGCTACCATGCCCAGCTGATTTTTTGATTTATTGTAGAGATGAAGTCTTGCTGCCCTGGCGGGTCTCGAACCCGTGGGCTCAGGCCATCCATTCACCTCAGCCTCCCAAAGGTGCAGGATTACAGGCTGAGCCACCGAGCCCAGCTTACTTTTTTTTATTCATTGTAGACATGAGGTCTCACCAAGTTGCCCAGGCGGGTCTTGAACCCGCAGGCTCAGGCAATCCACTCACCTTAGCCTCCCAAAGTGCAGGATTACAGGCTGAGCCACGGAGCCCAGCTTGCTTCAGGGTTTCTTACAAGGCTGCAGTCAAGGTGGTTGCTGGGGCCATGGTGCTCTCAAGGTTCAAGTGGAAGGACTTGCCTCCAAGTTCAGTAGTTGTCAGCAGGAGTCTCTGCTTCACAAGTGGTTGGACTGAGGACCTCATTTCTGGATTGACTTAGGCCGAAGCTGCCCAGGCAGCCCTCGGGCCAGAAAAGGGACACTGGCAAGATGAAGTCATAATCTTGTAACTTAGTCACAGAAGTGACATTCCATCACTTTTACCAGTCACCAGGTCAGGTCTACATGCCTCAGGCATGCAGATTACACAGGATATGACTGTCAGAAGGCAGGAATCCTTGGAAACTGTGTCAGAAGTTGCCTGCCACAGGCATTGTTTTTGTGGGCCAGCAGCACCGGAGTCATCAGGGTGTGGCCTGGTAGGGTGCAGCGCAAAACTTGTGGGCTCTGGGACTCAACCCTAAAATGAATTTTAGAGTGGTCAAGTGGAGTTTTAAAGGAGTTGATTGGGCCAGGCTCGGTGGCTCAGCCTGTAATCCCATGCTTTGGGAGGCCAAGGTGAGTGGATTGCTTGAGCCCATGGGTTCAAGACCTGCTGGGCAATTTGGTGAGACCTCATCTCTACAATAAATCAAAAAAATCAGCCGGGCGTGGTAGCACATGCCTGTAATTCCGGCTACTCGGAAGGCTAAGGCAGAAGGATCACCAGAGCCCAGAGATTGAGGCTACGATGGCCGGGAGCGGCTACTGCACTCCAGTCTGGGTGACAGAGTGAGTCTCTGACTCCAAAAAAAACAGTTGATTGGAGAAAGAAAGGAAAGATAGGAGGACGTGCCAGAGCTGGAATGGGTGAGAGAGAAGCGCTTTTTGCTTTTTACCAAGGGCGTGATGTGTTTGTGCGTAGGCAGGGGTATCTGTTCCCCTCTCCTGCCTCTGGTGAGTGAGGGCAGATTTCCCAACACACAAGTTCTCGAGCTAAAAGGTGGTCTAACAATTTTCTTTCTTTTTTTTCTGTGTTGGAGTCTCACCCAGACTGGAGTGCAGTGGCCGCTCCCGGCCACCGCAGCCTTGACGTGCTGGGCTCCAGCGATCCTTCCGCCTCAGCCTTC